TTTTCTATTTACCAGTTGGAAATATATATTGTAAAGTTTTGTTGATATTTGAATATCAAATGATTAGCTGTAACTTTATTGGAGCTGACTGCGTTGGGGGAATTGACACTTTGGGACTCATCGACAGGAGGAGGCAGGCTTGAACCACCAACCCTGCGATTAGTAGATGACCGTTTCTTACCTGCCACAGGACACCATATAATATTTGGTTGCCATTACAGTAAACCATCCAGGGGTGACATGTACATTCAAACAAAAAGTATACATAAGAAAACCAATACATCTCTTTACTATTTGTGGTTTTTTGAAAGGCCCTTCATTTTTACACCATTATCCCATCAGGCACTGTACAGTAGGACATAGGGCTGTGTATTGCAAGAATCTGGTTGCGATATAATATTTATCACAAGCGACAGGCGGTTTCCGATTAAATACATTGGCGAAATATTGCGATTTTAAAAAAATCGAATTACAAACTATATTGGATACCTTGCTATGTACAGTAGATGGTGTGTAGATAATTCCAATACAATTAAAGAAAGTCTTCACCAGATTGGGTGGAGTAATCGTGGAACGTTTTAGCAAAAGCTCAGCATCAGCTATCAAATGTTAGCTTGCTACTAGCTTATACTTGCTGGATATTTAATAATCCAATCCAATCCAACTTTTATTTGTTAAGCACTTTAAAACAACCAAAGGTTGACCAAAGTGCCTGTACAGGAAGAATAAATAAAACATCATTGAATAAAAGGACATAACAGCTCACATGAAGGTGCAAAATTTACATATAAAATACAATAAAAAATAGATAGAAAGACAGTAAAAAACATGAGTAAAAATTAATAACCACGCAATAAAAAAGACAATCCAAAATTAAGAAATTAATTCAAGTAAATAAAGTCGACATTCTCATAGCGTTGTCAAAAGCCATAGAGAAAAGATGCGTTTTAAGAAGGGATTTTAAAAACAGACAGAGAAGTGAGCGCCTGTTTGAACGTGCAGGAGGCAGATCATTCCATAATTTTAGGAAGCAGACAGCAGCAAAGCGCAGGTCCCCTCTGCAGCTTCCGCTTAGTTTTAGGCAAACACTCAGGAGCCCGTCTGATCATCTGACCTGAGAGAGCGGGACGGGTTTATATTGGGGGTGTAGAATCTCAGAGACGTAGGGCCGGCAAGACATTCAGGCGATTTTAAAAGCAAATAAAAGAATTTTAAAATGGATCTTAAAAATGAATAGCGCAGCAGTGGAGTTGAGGCCTAAAATGGGGGGAAATGCTGCTCATGTTTACGTGTGGCCAGTTAAAGACGTGCAGTAGCATTCTGCTACCATCTGAACGACGGCGATGGCGGACCAGCCGAGTGGAACAAAGGCGTCTCAAAGTGCTGCCTTGCATAGAATTGGGCCTTTATTTTGGGCCCACTGCCCTCAAATGGAAAAAGCTTTATTTGACAAACAGCCCTTGATCTGGACTGCTCAAACTTAAGCTCAGGGCTCCACTTTAAGCCGCTAGTTTTGTGATTGCCTAGGGGTTTAATATACTGGGCCAAGGAACCCAGCATCTACAAGGGGGGGGGGGTCCCAGTGGTGCCACCAAACAAACCATTCACTTCCATCTTTTTATTTCATTGAAAATTTAAAAAGGTTTCAGAGCCTATCCAGCCTTGTAAGGTCGTCGCAGACACTTCCCCTAAGTAGGCCAGCTCTGAGAGAGTATCCATTTTCTTTTAAGAGGCACATAAATCTTGACTGTCGTCTGCATAACAGTGGAATGAAAGCCGTGGCTTCCTAAGCTATGGAACCAACGTGGAGCAAATAGAGGAGAGAAAAGGGAGGAGGGCCAAGAACTGAGCCCTGTGGGACCCCACATGAGGGAGAGGGAGCCAGAGTTTTTGAGGATACAGTATCACCTAGGTGACACAAGAAAGTTTGATCAGCCAAGTACGACCTGAACCACTCCAGTGCTATGCCCCTGATGCCCACCCACTGCTTCCAAAACGTGAGATCAATATTTCCATGATCCACTGTGTCAAATGCAGCAGTTAAATCTAAAGCCACAAGGATAACACAGTCACCAGAGTCAGTAGCAAGAAAGATATCAATTAAAAACTCTTAAGAGAGCTTTGATTCGGTTTGCTGTGCAGGTTTTAAAACCGGATTGGATCTAGGATATTATGTTCTTCCAGATAGAATCATAGGTGATTGTTTGTTCGCCAGCTCTGCCACGACTATAAAAATGGTCAGGTAACATAATCATCCACATTATCAAAATGCAAAACATTATTTGTAAGCATTTCTGCCTCAAAAAGTTTTTTATTTTTGTCATTCAGACTGACAACAGTTTATCCTTAGAGTGAAACCATGTCAGAAAAAGCTCAGAAAGCTAATGCTGGTTTTGATAGAAAGGTGTAAGAACACACAGCACAGTTAGTTGCATATGGGGCTGCATAACATGACATAACAATGTTTTGGCTGATCGGTGTAAGAGAACAAATGCTGGTTAATTTAAAGAAATGAACAACATATTTCTGTGGAAGTATTTATTTAGTTGAAATTAGCAACAGAAAAAGCTGCAATGGTCACTGTTTACATGTGACACTGAAATTAGGTTAGATTTTCAAATGAGGAGTATGAGATATATTGTGCCCAGAAAGTAGTACAAGTTAAATAATGGTTTCAATAGGTGGTCCCAAACCAGCAGGTAATGATCAAGCTGATGTACAGTATGTGCTAGTCACTGATGCAGATATAACTTAATGTAGCTGCCTTTGAACCCAGTTATCATCATTGTGTGTCTTCCAACAAATGACCCCACTAGTTCAAATGTATGTCAGCTTAACATAAGGACAAGCTAACCAATAATCCCACTGTAAACCAGTGACATATGAATCAATTAGAAAACCCTGATACGTTGATATAGTTTTCTAATAACTCAGTTATTGGTTCAATGTGCCGAAAGAGACTGAGTCTGTGTTTGGTTGGGTTTGGTCCTAACGCTGCTTGATGACCACCAGGTTCTTCAACATGTCGAAAGAGTTTCCATCAGGCTCCACTGAGACCACGCCCTGCTCCTTGGTGTGCACTTGGAGGAATCCGTTGTGGTCCAGACCCACCACCTCAGCCTCCAGCCCGTCTTCGCTCCAGAGACGCACCAGAGTCCCGCTAAGAGCAGAGCACAGACAGCAACTGTTACAGTTCTGCTTCAGGATGTTAGTATGGAGTTCAGGAACAACACACTCTGCAGCTATAAGGGGTGTTTGCTACTTAGCTTAGACCAAGAGTGAGATCCTTAAAGACTGAGGCAACCCACCACCTCCTGCACTAATCTCTTAACAGGCCAGATTCATATGGAGGATTTGAAATGTCTAAATACAAACAAATCAATTCAAATCAAATTTTTATTAGAAGCAAACAGCGTGTTTCACCTCTTAACGAGGACTCTCAGGTGTGATGTATAGGCAGTATAGTCTCTGTATAGTCCTCTGTTATATTCAGACATGGCATTGAATTAAATACGGAATCTCCTCCTTAAATTTAGCTACAGCACTGTCAGATAGANNTTGTTATAAGACTCTGTTATATTCGGACATGGCATTGAATTAAACACTGATGGAATCTCCTCCTTAAATTTAGCTACAGCACTGTCAGATAGACATCTGCTGTAGGAAGTTTTGCCTAATGGCTTATAATCTAATAATAGAAATTCAAAAGTTATTAAATAATGGTCAGATAAAAAAGGATTATGTGGGAAGAATATTAAATGTTCAATATCAATGCTATATGATAGAATGAGGTCAAGATTGATTAAACTTGTGGTTCCTATAGTCTCTAAAAGTAGAACAGGAATTTAATGCTCACCTGTGGAGCCATCTCTTGTAGTAGGTGGGCAGGATGGCGTCTGGGCCTCCTTGTTGGAAGCTGCTGATGAGACTCTCCAGGCAGGTGACAGTCCGAGCAATGAGCTGGCAACAGCTGAGCGGCTGCAGGCTGCAGTTATGCTGTATGTTGTGCTGCTGGATCAGGTCATTGATGCACACTGTTGGGTTGCTGTTTGTCACATTGAACCCACAGCCTGTCAGGCAAACAACAACAGACTGTATTTCACTGGTGCCTGGTGGATAATATACTGCAAAAGATATATACAGTATATATAAACAGTATTATTACGATTCCTGACTAAATAGTTGTTCCACCCCATATCAGTATATATATCTATATCTATCAGTATATAGATAGAGTAGGTGGAAAGTGACAGCACACTAAAAAACTGACTGCATAAGTATTCACCCCTTTACTATGACACACTAAAATCATCATGAAAAAATTGTGTTTAAGTAGCAAAATAAAAAAAAGATATCACCTGTGTGCAAGACAAGTTATTTAAGGTTAAATACGTAGAAAATCTACAAAATAAAGACAAAGGAGCATTCCAAACAATTCAATGCTCTCAGGATCTCTCAGAGTACATTAAAGTAATCATAAAGACGGAAAGAATATAGAATAGTCGTAAACTTTCCTCTAGCAGGTTAAGTGTTAAGTGTGTGAGAGGAGCACAAGTGATCCAGGCCCTGTCCAGTAGACATGTGGAAACTAAGAAAAAGCTATGGAAACCACTGCCTCATCGGTTACAGCTGTACGGCATGTGAAAGATAAGTTGCTAACATGCAGTATGTAGTAGTAGTAGTAGTAAGTGTTTTTCTAGATATTCATAATTCCATCCACGCAGTCGGCATGGATGAGATTTTTTTTGTCTTTGCACCAAAACAAGGGCTGCAACTAATGTTATTTTCATTATTGATTAATTTATTTTCTTCATTAATCGATTGTTTGCTTGGCCCATAAAATCACAGAAAATAGTGAAAAATCAGTGTTTTCCAAATTGCCACGGTGATGTTCTCAAATGTCTTGTTTTGTCTACAACCCAAAGATATTCAGTTTACTGTCAGAGAGATTTTAAATGCTGAAATTAGAGAATTTTTAATTTTTTTCTTTAAAAATGACTCAAAAGAAGTAATCAAACAACAAATAGTTTGTGATTAATTAAATAGCTGACACATAATTGATTAATTGACTAATTGTTGCAACTCAAACCCAAATTGTTAAGAAAATTATTGTACATACTGATCTGACGCTAGGGACACACAGGAGGTGGATGTGCCGCAAACTGCTGCGATAGATCAATTCACATGCAAGTGTGAGCCTGGCTATTCACAGCAGATGTACGTTTCTCTGCGCCAGTCAACAGGTAATTCTGCTTCTCTGCTCTTTTCTAATGACACATACAGGTAATCATTACAATAACCTTATGAATTATGTGTTTATGGATAAGCAGGGTGTCACTTTTTCTGCAACAATTGAGTTAAAAGGACCATCTTCAGGAGAAGCTGAAAAAGCCCATCTAATTAAAGGGGACATTTTTACCTATGAGCAGATGAAAGATTGATCCTATTACAGTGGAAGTCACAAGGACTCCCCCGAGCTTCATTAGGTTACTGTAGTAGATGTCGTTGGGCCACTTCACCCTCAGGTCTATGTCCTGGTGAAGATTAAAATATGTTCACACATCATCAATCATCAACAGAAGACATTTTAATTTAATACCTAATGCACTGGCCTTTAACATATGATTCCTTTGTGATACAATATGCCGATGATACAATATGATATTGTGCTACTACAGACAACTATTCTAATGTTTAGGGTAAATTCAGATGGACATTGTATGGGCTAAATTACAAAATATGTGAAGGCTAACACAGTCTAATAATATGATACCTGGTATCCAGGAAGTGTGCGAACACCCTCCACTACTGCCAGAGCAGCCAGATGCTGCAGGAAGGGAATCCTCTGTCCGAGCCTGGAGCTCAGCTCAACCTGGACCGCCAGAGTGAACATGGAACAACCCAGAGGGCTGAGCCAGGCATTCCTGCCCCGACCTGCAGCAGCAACAAACACATACAAGGGGCGCTTAGTAGTACCAAACACTTACGACATACATTTGACAAATAAGATGAATAAAAACATGCAACTGAAACTTCAGTACGTCAATACATTTGAGGTTTGTGTGAATGTTGCATATACAGGTTTACAGTATGCTGGAGCACTGACCTCTGCCCTGGGTTTGTCGAGCAGATACTGCTATTAACCCCACATCCTTTGGTAAGTGCAGAGTCAGCCTGAATGGAGACAAGAATGAACACAGAACACAGGGTTTATTTTGTGATTTATAGTCATTCCTGGGAGAAGCACTTCCAAGTAGTTTTCTGCTGAGGAAGAATACTTTGACTATGTCATCAGGAATGGTGTCATCAAGCCCCAGTTTCAGACTATTCAACCCTGCCCTCTGCCCCAAACCAGAGCTCAGCTCAGGTCCATCATTGTCATGATAGGTTGGTACCACAGGTTCATACCTAACTCTTCAGCTCTAGCTGCTTTGCTTACAGATATGACCAGCAACATGCACTCCAATAAGTTTCTCTGATGGAGGAATGTTGCCGCATGTCGTCATTCCACCG